ATATTACATTTTATTGTGTTTTAAATGAGTAAAAAAATTCTTACTGACCAATGGGCAAAACCTAGGATAGTGGCAAAATTTTAAAATGTAAAATGACAACTAATTAGTATTTGGGGTGAAAGTAATTAGTCTTTTAATATGTCATAAATTGATTTTTGTTGTAAATATGCCTGACAAGATTGTTACACTGAATGACATTTTAGTGGGTCTCTTCTGTAAATCAGGGGAAAATGTATGATATTTATTTTTTTGCTTGGAAAAACGAAAACAAAAATACAATTGAATTAAACCGAAAACTTTTTCATTTTTGTGGGGGAAAAAACAACAATTTAAAGCAGTATTACACTTATTGTTTTTATGCTTAAACCCTTTTTCATTCTTTGTTCATTACATTTTAACATTCAAAAATCAACTAGATTTTAAAAACGTTTACTATGTAATAATTTACTATTACTATAATTTAACAATAAAAGAGCTTTATTGTTTTATCTCCCAAATTCCATTTGTATTATTTTTTATGTTTAATGTTTTTTGTTTTTGTTTTTAAAGGATCATTAAATTGTAACCTTCAAAAATCAACTGAGTTTATAAAACTTTTACAGTGTAATAACTCACTAAAATATTTTACAATTAGAAATGTAACAATAGAGCTCTATGAAATCGGTTTTATTTTTTCCCCCCAAAATTCTGTTGTCGTCTTGTTTGAAATTTTCGGAATTGTGTTTTACAATTTAATACAAAAAACCTGTGGTAAATCAAATGAATTCATAAAACTTTAACAATTTTAAAATGTAATCATACGAAAATATAAAAATAAAAACTTTTGTTTAATAAATTAAAACATGGATGTTTTAATAATTTCTACATTTATTTACGATGTACATTTTACTATAAAATAATAATATATTTGTCATAATTTCTTCAGCTTAAACCAAACTTTTATTTTAGGGGTTTGTAGTGAAGACCTTTGAGTTTAGGTTTTATTTGATGATGGTTTTTATCAAATAAAATGATGAAATGCTTGAAAAGTCATCATAGAGAAAACATGATACTGTTGAAACATGTAACGTGGCACGTCTGCTCATGTTCACTCACTTGTTCTCTTCGATAAGAATCCGCAAAACATCTGGATTGGTCAGAGCAACATCAGAGTCGATGCTGAAGAAATAATCACAGGAGACGTCCTTCTTACACGCCTCCCTGAAACACAAACACACAGTCAATGGAATCATGGGAAAGATCAGCTCATTCAATACACTCAACCATCAGCTGTGTGTGTGTGTGTGTGTGTGTGTGTGCGTGTGAGTGAGTGAGTGAGTGAAAGTAAAGTAAAACACAAATAAACACATATCGGTTTTGCATATCGGCACATAAACATGCAAATAATCTGTATTGATATCGGTTATTTTTAAAAATCACTATCGGTCGATCTCTAGTGTAAACTTACGTTATTATGTACGAAAATAAAATGTAATAATTTAACAATTTAATTTAATAATTTAAAATGTACGTTGTTGTTGTGTACATAAGTTGTGTATGAAAATGAAATATAACAATTCAATAATTGAATTTAATAATTTAACATGTACGTACGTTGTTGTGTATGAAGAGTCGTATGCGTGTGTGTGGGTAGATCAAAGTTGCGAGTCTCTCCAGAAATTCTTCCAGAAACGGCGC